GGGCAGCAGAGGAGCCGCAGGAACACTGCGAGCGTTGGCAGAGGAGGCCGGCAGGGAAGGATTGACACCCTGGAACCGGGGTAGGAGAAAGGAAGGAAGCAGCCCAGGGCAGGGCGGCGAGATAGCCCGTGGGCTGGTGCGTTTAGTGGCACTCCCCCACCGGTTGGACCGAGACTTGCAGATAGTCTCCATCCTCAGGGCCCTGGGCTGGGGTCCGGGAGTGAGGGCGGGCCCGGACCCCCCTTCCCTCTCTCCTCCCGAGGAAACCCGGACCACGACCGGACTCGTCGTCCGAGACTAGAGAACTGTTCCAGAGAGTCGAGTGACCGCCTCTCCCCCCCAGACGGGCTGTGGGCGGGGGCACGGCCACAGCGTGGACTGTGGGTCAGGACTGTTGGAGGGCTGTAATATAACAGATTCTGGGTGTGCAGCTGACACGTCTAATGAGGGGAAATTGCTTAGAAACAGAGCTGCTTACAGGCCGAGAATGAGGGTCCCCTACAAAGCACTAAACCAATCCCAAAGAGCACTCGTGTGCCACACTGGCCAGCCAGAAGTTGCACAAGCAGCCCCCTTAGACACTCCAGCTCCTCCTGTACCACAACCAGCCCCACAACTGACCCAGAGGAGCGGTTATAAAAACCCACCTCAGCAAAGAGCAGCAGGTTCTACCCATCCCAAAGGAGCGGCCCCTGGTCATTTCATGCCTCAGACCTCACCCAACAGAGCTCGCTGGGCCCGTCCTTTAGCAAAGAGAAGGTGGAGAGTAGAATGGTTAGGGAGATTGCTGGAGACCAGGGGCGGGGAACCTGCTTTGGGTTGGGGCCGCTGCCTCACAGAAAAGTCAGTTGGGGGCCACATACAAGTGAGGAGAAAAAAGCCCCACTCCTCCCTAACGTTGCCCACGACTGAGAAGCAGAAAGATGCTCCCCCCCGTGATGGCGTATTGGGGAGCCCCCGACCCTGTACCCCCGTCTGCAGCCAGATGTGACTCTCCCCCAGCCCGTAGAGTATAAATGGGTTTATTGCTTCTCCAAGATCCAGCCCAGCGTAGGTTTGATGTAGGCATAGGATAGGCCGACAGCCCTAGTTCCCTTGGGGGGAGGGGTTCACAGGCCTCTGAATCCCCTACACACCGACTGCCCCCTCACCAAGTCACACCCTTCCTTTGTTCAAACCCCTTCCCTGCTCAGGTGAGAACCGGTTGGGCCATGGTCTACATGACATGAGGGCCCTCAGGGCGACTTGGGGAGCCCCCGACCCTGCACCCCCGCCCGCAGCCAGATGTGACTCTCCCCCAGCCCGTAGAGTATAAATGGGTTTATTGCTTCTCCAAGATCCAGCCCAGCGTAGGTTTGATGTAGGCATAGGATAGGCTGACAGCCCTCAGTCCATTATTGAGGGAGCGGCCAGTGTTTACCACAGCACAGTGCCTCAGCTGTGGGCTGGTCCCACTTGAGGTGCAATGTCGGTGAAGTGCTGCCCTTGCACAAGTTGTGAACAAAGCCTGCTGAGATCTCCCAGATGCAAACAGCTGAAGCACCAGTACGGAGCCGCCACTTGTAATGTGAAATACAACAATGATACAGGCCTGTGCGCAGTACAAGGCTCCTCCCTTTCTCTGAAGGCAGTGGGTTGGATCCCCTATTTCACTGGCACTGGTTCAGAATGTGTCTGGACATGACCCTCTGTTTCCCAGGCGATGGCTGCCCCAGCTGACAAGGCCTGGGACTGTCAAATACAGTCAGACTGGCATGTTGAGTCTGTGGGGACGCCTACCCTGCAGGGCTCAACTCGAAATAAGCGACACAAATTGAGCTACGTCAACTGCGGCGCTTGTTTCAAAATTGGGAGGGACTACACAGCACTTATTTCGAACTCGAGCCCTCGCCCTCCGACTTCCCTTACTCCTCGTGCGATGAGGGCTGCAGGAGTCGGAGTGTAAAAATGTAATAAGAAAAGCAAAAAAAGATTTTGAGGAACAGCTAGCCAAAAACTCAAAAAGAAATAACAAAATGTTTTTTAAGTACATTAGAAGCAGGAAGCCTGCTAAAAACCCTGTCGACACGGACGATGTTATTTCAGAAGAGCGCTAGTGATTTGCAAATAGTGTGGCAGTGCAGACGTGTAATGCTGGGATCTGCGTTGGGCAGGAATTTCTCTCCATAGAGACCAGACGTGTAATGCTGGGATCTGTGTTGGGCAGGAGTTTCTCTCTAAGGAGACCCACGCAAAACCCCACTGGATTGGACTCACTGACCTGGGCACTGAAGGCCGCTGGCGCTAGGTGGACGGCTCAGAATACAGAGAAGAATCCAGCAGGGGGTGAGTAACGCGGAGACTGATCCCGTGTTAATGTCTCGTCAGAAGCTCTTTCAGCAGCGTCTGTTCAGCCCCTTGGGTCCGTGCAGCCCCCAGCGCAGGGGGCCCGATCCTGAGGGAGGCTCCTAGGCACTCACCCAACAGAAGTTCACCCTCTCAGGAATTCCTACACATGCCCCTTGCGTGTGCTCAGTGCCAGTGAGACCGAGGCCAGAGCCTCCCTGGGGACTCGCCACTGACCTGAATAAACCACCTGGATTTACACCAGCTGAAGGGCTGGCTCCGAGCCAACACCACCCAGCCAGCTTGGAATGGAGTGAACGGCCGGGTCCAGCGGTCTCCCTGGGCCACACGGCGCTCCATCTCCCGGTGTACTGAGCGCAGGGGCCGGGGCTGAGGCCCATAACTGGGGCAGGGAGAAGCCAATGAGGGAACCCGCTGCCCTCTCTTCCCGTCCCTGCGCCCCCATCTCGGGTCGTGCTGAGCCACACGCTTGGTGCTGGGCCCTGAGATCTGAGCAGCTGCTGCTCCGTGTTCAGAACCACACGCTCGCCTGGGCCCTTTGCCGGCCTGTCAGACCCAGGCTCCCCCTCTCAGAAGCCCTTCGCTACCCCGTCACGGATGCTGCAGAGAACACTGGTGGGGTGGGAAGGGGGGCACTTTGCTGGGTCATTTCCAGGTGTCTTGGTCCCCTGCTGACACCAGAGTCCGAGCTCGGCACGTGCCCGTGGTTCTCCTGAGACAGGAACACTCTGCTCTGCAGGTTCTGGGAGCACCCTCAGCCTGACAACTGGCACCAGGGGATCGGCGGCAGAGAAGACTGTGTTGAGATCCGCACAGAGATGCAGACTTTGTGGAATGATGCCAACTGCTCTCTGCCTGCGCGGTGGATCTGTAAGCAGGCCCGTGGGCAGGCCGGGCTGTGACATGCAGGGCCAGTGTGAGAGTTTCACCCCCCTCCCCTTTGCTTTATGAAATTGACTTATGGGCACAAACATGCATAAGCCGAAGATGCTTTGGACAAATCCCTGATGTCACCCATCAGCCTTAACGCCACAAGCTGCTGGTGCCATGTGTCTGATTGGCGTGTGCACCATTCTTGGGGGTAAAGTGAGAGATATGGAGTAGGGGAAGGGTTAGGGTTTAACTATGCAAATGAAAGCCATGTGGGCATTTCCCTCCATGTCTGGGTGATCACCTGTAAACAGCCTCTTTTGTCCTGTGAGTCTGAGCAGCGGTTGGTTTTAGGAAGTCACATGACCACCCCAAGTGCTAGGGTCTGACCAGGTAATTGTCCATAGGAGGGGGAATGTCAAAACAGAATCCCCGCCTCAAAAGGAGGCTACTCAGGGATGTTTTCAGGCTTTTGTCTTTGCCTGGCACGTCACTGCCAGGAGAATGAACCAGAGACCCCAGGGAAAGGGCGTTCTCTGGCTTGGAGGCTTGGCTGAAAGAAGAACAGTTTCAGGGTAAGTTTGTGCTGAGCTTTGAGTGACAGAACTCGCTCTGCATTTCCTGTTAGTTTCAATCTGTAATCGACTTTGCTCGGCCTGTTTTCACCGGCAACCACTTCGCTGCTGCTGTTTGTACTGAATAAAATCACTTGGGTTCACTGTCCAGCCCAGGGTCAGTAATTGTTCCAGGGGAGCAATCAGAAAATCCTTCTCCTGTCACTGTGAAGGGGGCTGTAACCGGCCGTGCCTCCCCCCATGGGCACCTCCAGCTGCTCACTCTGGGGGTCACCTC